GTTAGAAATCTCTGGAAACTCATAGACATTTTCATTTTCTTGCTTTGAAATTCCCTGCATTGGTAAGTAGTCATCACTATCTTGATTCTTAGGGAACTGATTATTCATCTTGACTAGATAGAGGTAATTTGAAGTAATACAGAACTGGCAGCTACTGCCTTTTTATAAAAGACAAAAAATAACAAAAATATGTTTGTCAGTAACAAGACCAAGTTGATTTTTAACTTTGATAATTAAAAATCAAACTAGTTTAATAATAAACTTCAACTACAATTGTGGACTTAAGCTGCAATAAGAATATTGTCTAATGAACAACCTGAACTATAATATAAATAATGATGACCTATGGCTTGTGATATAATCAAAAAAGCTTACACTTTCCATGTGATAAGGATAGCAAAAGGTGTAATAAAAATTTAGGAAATTACTAAACAAGATTCAATGTTAACATTTTTGTTTGGGAGAGAATAGTCTCGTTACGTGTGGCAACATTAGGAGGAAATTAAACGTTCATTTAGTAATAATGTATTTGTTGATAATACTGTTGAGTGTTTGGTGCATATTCTCAATGCATTGTATATTCTATAATAGCACTTTAAGTAATTTTTTTATTAAAACTTTTTTGGGGAGGGGGGAATGTGCAGTTTGAATGGAGTTGAATCTTCTTATCCCCACCCTTCAGTAGATAAAACCCTGCTAGATCTAGGATTACCAGTTATGCAAAGTAATTCATACTTAAGTATATTGACCTTTTAATGCATTGATTTGTACACAAGAGCACCAGTTCATAAGGATTCTCTTGACTTTGTACAGGAGCTGATGTCTTACATTCTCCCTTTACTTCCATTGCTAAGAAAAAATTGCATTCCACATAGCCACAGGAATGTAATCTGGACCCAAACTAACAAGAATGTACTTAATCCTACATGTGTATAGCAGCAATAATTCTTATGACTGTAGACGTAATATTACAAATGATGTAATAATGTTAGTAATTACAGCATGAGTAATTGAGTATATATTTAAATGATTAATGCAGCACATTAACTGATCAACTGAACGTTAAGCATTATATTAAATAATTGGTCTTGATATTTTAAAGAAAGAAGACATCAACTGAATATCAACTAGTACCGTATAGTGGGGACTGAAATTTGGCAAATTGCTAAATTTTGATGATTGGCAAATTTTAATTTCTCAAATTAATGGCCATGTGCCATATAATGGCTCAAAATGGCAATGTTGATTAGAATTCCCCACATGAGTAGTAATACTAGTAACTATTATAATGGAATGTGGCTTGAAAGGTTTCCGTATCATTATACCTACACTTGAAGAAATAATGCATCAAGTGTTAAGTGTTACAATTGTTCATAGATTGGTTTGTGAAATGGTTTGCAAGGTCCGCAAAATTTGCTGTAACCTTAAGACAAGTATATTAGCACAACTATAAATGCACGTATACCCATGCTACCTGTTTTTGGTACAATATGTATAA